AAACTTTGACGTTCTGTCATATATCATGTACAACAATTAAAGTTGTACATGATATATCACTCTTAAAAGAGTGATACTGACCGTTAAAGTATTGCACAACTTTAATTGTTGTACATGATATATGACAGAACGTCAAAGTTTACTTTTGCAGTATTTTACTGCAGAAGTGAAATTTGTTCGGTTTTGTCTACTGTCTGTACAAGGATTGTCGTTGTGTGATAAATCTTTGCTGCATATTCACTCATACATTGATGAATTATCTAGCCCAAATAAAAAACTATCTGACAATATATATATATCAGATATGAGGTTGCATGATTGAGACCACTATTAATTTACTTATTAATTAGATTTAAACAGTGGTCTCAATGTGGAAGTGAAAATTTCATAGTAGTAAAAATGATCTCAATCTGGAATGCACATATTCTCTCTTTTTATAAAAATAAAATGTGATCTCAATTTAGAATAGAGAGTTTGTCCTTTTCACATACCACGGAACTCAAAAATGGATCTGTACTCGTAATTCTTGTTCGTGTTCAATAACAATAAATGATGATGTCATGATTAGTAGTAGTGGTATTCATGATAATGGTACTCATTATTCAATGCACGTTCCAAAATTACCGAAGAATATTTTGTATTTGTGTACAAAGTATGTGAAAAGAATAAACTTTCTATTCTAAATTGAGATCATATTCTATTTCTATAAGAAACGAGAGAATATGTGCATTTCAAATTAAGATCACTTTTTCTACTATGAAATTTTCACTTCCAAATTGAGACCATTGTTTAAATCTAATTAATAAGCATTAAAAGTGGTCTCAATTATGAAGGAGCCGTCAGATAGTAAGAAATAATGTGATTTGTATTAAAAATTTTATTCGGACAATTAATCTTAAAAAAAATTCTTCTATGGAGCTGTGTGACTACGGTAACTGCGAACTGTTTAGAGCGAATTGTTTGTCCTCATGTTGAGGCTGCAAGTCGGGGTTAGGTATTTCCTTTTAGTACAAACTATGAAGGAAATATTATTGTGAAAAAGAGATGATATCGGGTAGCCCAGAATAAATGGCCCTTCTCGTATTTTGCTCATAATTTCTTTTCTTTTTAATCCTTAGACTTGATTGTTTTTCCTAAAGATACGCCGTCAAATTCTCTACAAAACTTTGTCTGTATAAAACGTTACGGAGAAAAATGAAATGAAGAATATTCAACATGATGGAAAGGACGAACTGTCTAAGCCGAAAGAACGTTTTGTTCCACCACTTTCAGTGAGTTGGATAATAAAAAGGAGCATTTTGTAGCCCTTGAAAAACCCTATCATGCAGTATTAGGTGCGTTGCAAAATCAACCAAATTTGAACGTGCTGATTCGGAACGCCTGGAAAATGCTGCATAACGAGGTCAATATAGCACCGTTTTAGCTCGGTCTTTTTCTATTTTGATCAGAAATGACATCTGTGCCAGATTCAGCTGTGAAAGTGACCTTGAAGCTTTCTTCATAAATTCACCTGCTGAACGATAGCAGATTTTGAGCTGAATTTGGGAATGTTAGATTTTTCAGTGCTCACTTAGATTTAAACGAACTGTGGCTGTATAAAGAGAAAGAACGCACTTCAAAGTACTCAAAAATATCCTCATTTTTGTTCCATTGTCTTTAGAGTTCCTTCAAATATTTAAATAAGAGTATTCCAAAATTTGTAAAACAAAATAGTTTAAAAAGTTGGTCCTTCTCATCATGTTGAGTATTCTTCGTTTCATTTTTCTCCTTAGCCTTTTATAGAGATAAATTTGATCAAGTTTTGTCGAGAATTTGATGGCGCATCTTTTGGAAAAACAATCAAGTCTGAGGATTAAAAAGAAAAGAAATTATGAGCAAAATACGAGAAGGGCCATTTATTCTGGGCCGTCATAGATATTCGTCTTTTCTCTGCTCTGTGTTTCTTAAAGTTAAAGTGAGCTGATTTGACAAATATCTTACCTGTTATAATCAGATGGATGATGAATAGATTCTTTCTTATTTTGTTCATATGTACTTATACATTGTTGCACTAGAAGACGAATCTTATCCATTATCTCTTGACTACTTGCTCGTAATACAATAGATAATGATGGACGATGTTGGATAGTAATTTGTTTATATTGTTTTAATTCAGATTTAATAAATTTTTCAAAATATTGTTTTGAATTAATTGGTAACATAATTTTTTCAGTGAATACAGAAGTAGTATTTCTCTTTTTTTGTTGATTATCATTCGAATTTTGATTTGATGCTGCTCTTCTTCGTTGTTGTTGTTGTGGCCGTTGTTGATAATCTGTATTGCTGCGATCCATCTCTTGAGGGTAGAAAAATATATAAAATTAAACACAGATAAAAATATTTTTTTGATTCACCCGTTATTCACCCTTCTTTTCGTGCACTTTTCGGCGTTTTTTTGGGGCAAGATTTCGGGAGCCCAGAGATATCGCAAAAAAATCGCAATCAATAATTATCCATTCAAAATAAATTTGAGCATCGGCAATTCAAAATGCTCTTAGACTACACTAGCGCTTTAAATAGATGTAGAGTCTGTGCATCTATTCAAATCACTAATGCAGTCTAAGAGCATTTTGAATTGCTCAAATTTATTTTGAATGGATAATTATTGATTGCGATTTTTTTGCGATATCTCTGGGCACGCGAAATCTCAGCCCGAAAAAAATCAACTTTTTAATTTATTCATAAAATTTTTCTCTGCTTTCCTGTACATTAAAGCTTTTTCTTATACATACTCTGATAGAAGAAAGTCTTCTCTTCACGATGAGATGTCTCCCAGAATGGGCGTTGAGACGGGACACAGTGAAAAACCGAGTTTTATGGAAAACTCGTGAGCAGTAATAGTTGAAAACTTAAAAATAAATGAAAATTGTCCATTGAATTTCCAACTCGTTCTGAAAATATGAATTTTTAATGGTTTTTAGTTTTTATTTGACAGCATTTCTACGGAAAGCCAAACGGAGAGGAGGGGTATCTTTGATTTCGCATGGATTTTAGCATGTGGATGATGACCTAGACATTATGTGTAACTTTGTAAATTGCAGTAAATGACGTACTTCTTATCGATATTGATCGACTGGCTCGTATTTAATAAGAAGGTTAGTTTCATCGCTTGATTGTTTGGGGCCTTATATTACTTTGATAACAACGAACATTTATCCTTCAGTTTTACAACTCTATTTTTTCTTACAGCCGATTCTTTTTCGTCAGTTCGTTCCTGTAGAGGTAGAGACAATTCTCTTTCCAATTCACATTTCCCTTTGTTTGAATAGGAGTGTTTGTGCAGTTCGCGCGCATCAAAAATTCACTTCTACTCCTTTGTCTTCTACGAAGAGAAGTTTCTATTAGAGCTGCGACAAATAGCGATTTTCTTTTCGTATTCACGTTATATATCATATTGGATATGAGACCCCAGCCCGCGAGCCGGTGTAGAAAATCTGAATCGACAGTTCGATTCAGAATATTTTTCTCTTACTATACTGAAATGCTCAGCTCCGATCCTTCTAATTTATTTATAGAGCACTCGTGTCGACGTACATTTATTTTATTCGTTTCGTACGCTAACCAATAGAAATCTAAGATGATTGCCATGCTTAAAATTCTACGTAGAACGCTTGCTTTAGTCAAAAATAATGGAAAAAGTGACATTTCTTGCATAATTACTGAACAAAAGTACTAATTATAATTATTCCGCTAAATGCGACAGAGATTGACTTGAGCGTGAATCAC